TTTTATCAATATTAGGCAAACTATCACTTTCTAGTTCCAATGATTTTAATCATTATACATTTTAAGCATTTATTACACCTACTAGTGGGGAAAGTAGTTTTTGACATCTTGTCGAAGGTGTGTTTTGAGAATTATTCAATTTTACTGATGTGTGTTGGTGATACATACCCCATTCTAAGATCATTGGCATATACTGTTTGGGTACACTTAAACCCTCTTTACAGTTGCATTGTTGAGATTGATAGTAGTAGCAATTCCTAGATACTGATAAAGGTTGGACTTTGTTCTTAAGCATTTCTAAGAACTTGCAGTCTTGGGAAAGCTTGTGTTAACTCTCTTGTGCACACCAAGTGATAGGACTTTGTTATAAGAGGTACAGATCAGGTTTACCAAAGAAGTTGGGGTGAGCCGGGAGGCTAATGTGTGTTCCAGTTCTGCTGTTGTGTTAACACATAGTTGTAGGTTAGCCTCAGAATTGTTGAGTGAGGATGTGACTGTGGATGGAGAAGAAGAGTGTGGTGACCCAACATGGAATGAACTTGGCCTCATGTCAACTCTATGAAGTGAACTGCAATCTCCAGTATGAAGTCTTACCCTTTCTCTTGGATGTGTTTTTAGGATTCAGTGACCTTTGAGGATGTTGTTGTGACCTTCACCCTGGGAGAGTGGACTTTGTTGGATCCTTCCCAGAAGCAGCTCTACAGAGATGTGATGTGGGATACCTTCAAGAACCTGGCCTCTATAAGTAAGTGTGACACTGTTCCCTCCTTAGTCATTCACAGAACAAGTGTTTTCTTGCTCATTAGTTCTGCTCCATTATATGGAATATGAAAAAGAACATTTGGGTGAATATATAGGTTTGGTCAAATTATGCTATCAACCTAGCTAGAATCAAATAATTGTTCATCAGTGTTTAAAAAATGGATACTGATTTTTCTGGGTCTATATTTTAGGAAAAGAAAGAGGAGGTCAGACCACTGAAGATGTGCACCAGAATCCCACAAGAGAAATAAGGTAATGAGCACTGAAAGGAGAAATTAATGTCCCTCAAGAATCTGGGAGTGACAAGAAGTTTTAAAAACAAGCAAATGATACAATAAGCCCAGCTTCAAATTGATTTTGTCTCACAAAATTTTCTCCCAACATGCATTGAGGTCTGTAATCTGGAAATTTAAAATCCAAAATGTTCCAACATGATGCCTGATGTGACATGTTTTTGGGGGTTCATTGTGCACAAGCTTTATAACATGCCTAAAATTATTTAAACATATCATGTGAAATTACCTTAAGGCTGTTTAGGTGCTGTGATACAAAAGTGAACTTTGTGTTTCATTGTGACCCATCCTCAAGATATCTTACTATGTACATGAAAATATTTGAAGATCCAAACATTTTTGATCCACAGGATTTTCCATAAGGAATACTTGATTGCATTTAAAGGTGATATAGACATTCAGTGTTTGCCAAAACAGTTTTCTTGAAAACAGTATTAAGATACTCCATAATAATACAACTACTTTGATAATATTGGTGTTCAAACCATCCAGTAGAGCATTCAGTCCATTCATATTAAAAAATTCTTACAGGGCATAAAAGAGTGCTTCTGGTAAGTCATGAAGAAGGAAAACCTTAGTAATGTGCTTCTCATTTCTTCCAGAAGTCAAGAGGAAGGGAGATGCTGTGAACATAAAGAAAGTAATCAGTGTGGAGAAAGCGGCAGCTGTAAACCTGATTGTCTTGAAAACAAGATAATTCCTCCTGGAGTAAAATCAAGTGAAAGCCCGGTGTGTGGAGAAGTCCTCAGTGTGCCCCTCAGAGCTCACATTGAACAGAAACCATATGATTATCCAGAGTATGGGGAGAACCCATATAAATATAATGAATGTGGAAGAGCCTTCAGTTCTCCCCAGTTCTTTGAGGAATTTGAAGGAACTCACATTGAGGGCAGATATCATGAATGTAGACAATGTGGAAGAGTCTTCAGTCTTCCCAGTTCCCTTCAAATACATGAAAGAATTCACACTGGAGAGAAACCCTATGTATGCAAGGATTGTGGGAAAGCCTTTACTCGTTCCAGGTCTGTTCACAGACATGAAAGAACTCACACTGGAGAGAAACCTTACATATGTAAGCAATGTGGGAAAGCCTTAAGTGATTCAAGTTCCCTTACAATACATGAAAGAACTCACACTGGAGAGAAACCCTATGTATGTAAGGATTGTGGGAAGGCTTTCACCCATACTAGGTCCTTTTACAGGCATGAAAGAACTCACAGTGGAGAGAAACCCTATATATGTAGGCAGTGTGGGAAGGCCTTGAGTGATTCAAGTACCCTTAAAATACATGAAAGAACTCACACTGGTGAGAAACCCTATGTATGTAAGGAATGTGGGAAAACCTTTAATTCTTCCAGTTACATTCGAATACATGAAAAAGCTCACACTGGAGAGAAACGGTATATGTGTAAAAAATGTGGAACTGCTTTTGGTTATTACAGTTCCCTTAAAAAGCATGAAAGAATTCACGTTGGAGCAAAACCCTATATGTAAGGAGAGTGGGAAATCGTAGTTATTTCATTTCCTTTCACAAACAAAAAGACACCCTGATGAGAAACCCTATGTGTATAAACAACGTAGGGGAAAATACAGTCACTGCAATCATGTTCTTAGACATGAAAAACACAAAATAGAGACAAACTATGTGTATATAAAATGAGTGTGGAAACACTATTAGTTCTTCCATTATCTTGGAATACATGAAAGAATTCACACAGGAGACAAACACTATACATGTAAGCAATGTGGAAAAGGCTTGCATTCTTTCTATTATATTGAAATCCATGAATGAATTCCATGTTTGAGAGAAACCTTGTGTGTCGTTCCATTTCCTTTCACAGACATGGAGGAACTCACGCTGGAGAATAACCCTGAATAAAGTACGTGGGAAGACTTTGTTATTACATAAGCTTTCTAGCAGAGTTTAGAATGCACATTGCAGAGAACTTGTATTAATGTAAATCATGTGGGAATGCCTCTAGTTATCTTGGTTCAATATATATATATATATATGTACATAGATACAGTATGGAGAGAAGCCTAGAATAGAAGAGAAATGCAAAAAGATTAAGTTGGCCTACATATACACAGGATCAAACTCTGTGAAAAATACAAGATCGTTTTCAGTTTTAATAATTTCAATGTCCTGTGAAAATTTCTCAGGTAGTGGAACCCTATAAGTGTAATTAATGTGAAGAGCTTGATATAATTTGTTTAGCATTCTCTAGAGAATTCACTGTAGGAAACATACTAAAACTTATAAATATATTATGTTCATAAGTGGCTCATTCTGAAAGTAGATCTCTACAGTCTAGATTTCTAATTTATATTCTTAAAAATAAATGAGAAACATATCTCTGCGAGTTTCATTTAGGCAATAGCATGAGAGTTTATATATGTAGTTGTCTTTCAGTCAAATGAGTTTTTGTCCTTTGAACTTGAACCATGTTGTGGATCCATAGGTGAATTAATCTGTTTCAAATGTGCCATAGGCCTAACTTTTATGCAGTTTTTAAATAATTGTGGTTAAAAGGCTACTGAAAAGTAAAGTGGTTTTAGAGTTTTTTTTTTTTTTGTTTTTTTGGTACTGGGGTTCTACATTTTTTAGACTTTCTTGTAGATTAACATTTTCTTTTAATTTTGTATTTTCACAAAAACTTATTGGCAAAATTCAAAATGTAGTGATAATATATATTTTGGGATACAGATCTAATAAGAATAAGAAAATTCTTTATAGATGGAATAATAATTCAGTTAACTGGGAATTAAAAGTTAAGAATTTCTGTCATACTAATTACAGATATGTTCTGTAAAAATAATTCTTAGCTGAAAGGCTTTGCAAATTCAGTTCGTTAGATTTGGACTACAAATCATAATTGGTGTATAAGATATTTTTACCAGTACCAAGGAAGAAACAAAAATCAGAAGAAATCAAAGACCACCAAAAATAGATGTTGTTTCTTACCTTTTTTTCTAATATCTGTATGCTGCTTTATTTCACATTTCATTGCATTCGACCTCCTTGTTGACAAAGTCATCTGTTTGCTCAGAGATGGATTAGAATTATTTAGCAGAAAAGAGAAAGAATAAATTTGTATTTTTTGCTTCCCAAATTTAATTTTTTTGTTTTTTTTTTTTTTTTTTTTTTTGGTACCACAGATTGAACCCAGAGGTGCTTAACACTGAGTAACATCTCCAGCCCCAACTCCCCCTTTTTTTTAATCTAGAGACAGATCTCACTAAGTTGCTTAGTGCCTCAGCCTCTGAACCATTGGAATTACAGGTGTGAACCACCACACCCAACACAAGCTAGTGGTTCTATTTGGAGGTGGCAGTTCTCTTAAGAGGTGGGGCCTCCTTGGAGAAACTGGACATCTGAGATGTGGGAGATGTTGGAACACCAGCCTCTTCCTCACTTTTTGCTTCTGAGCCACCATGAGGTGAGAAACTCCCTGCCATGCTGTGTTCTGTTATCAGTGGCTGAAATGACAGAGCCAAATGTCAGGACTGACATCCCTGAAACTGAGCTAAACTAAACTTTCCCTCCTTCCAGTTGTTTATTTTAGTTTTTTGTCATAGAGATGGAAAACTATCAAACCAAGTGACCATTTAATGAGAAAGTAAATGTGGATAGAAGGAAACCATGTGCTGCTATCATTGAGAAAATGGGTGAAAGACTCTCAAGCTCTTTTGGACACCTTTAGTGCTGCCTCTGCCATGACAGACCCAAAGAGCTTGGCCTGGAGCACAAAACAATGAAATAGGAGGTGCCTGGGTCACTCATGTGAGAACTGGAACTTCCTCCAACTTGACCAGAAGACACTGAGCACCTACATTTAAGAGTAACCACTCTTTGATAACCAGATCTAAATTGCCCCCTTCTGGAAAGCCTGCCAACTGCCTTTACTGCAAGGCAAAGGCCTGACTTCACACTCTTGGCTCCCCCAGCTCCTGTCCTCCCTCCGACCCCACCTTGACCACGTGAGACTGCAGCAAGCTCCTCAAGCCAAGGCCTTTCTGTGCAGAGAGATGCTGCAGGAAGCCTTTGTTATGGGCTGGGAAAGGGAGTGGAGATTGAAGGCACCCCAAGTCTCTACTTTATTCTGCAGACCCTGAGACAGCCAATCCAATTTGGCCTCCTGCAGAGGCCCATCAGAATGTCCTGTGGGGAAGGACTCAGCAGACAGGACAGAGCTTTAGTTCAAAGTACTCCTTGGTCTGGTTCCTGCACAGCGTGGGCATGCACCATGAAAGAATCGAGCAGGGAGCCGCCTAGGCCTTCTCTAACTGGCTCCTTCTTGGAAATGCAGTCCAGGTAGAGGGAGAACAGGAAGGTGATAGCACCAGACAGCATGGAACATTTGCACTTAGAGCTATTCAGTGTCTGGTGTTGGGGTGCAGCATTGCAGAGAAGGGAGAAAAAGCCAGAATCTTCCAGTGTGGGAGGCTCTCTGAGGAAGTCTTTGGTTTCTTCTTCCCCCCACCCCCACCCCTTGTCTTTACCCAGCTTAGGTGTCCATTTTAGCTTCTAACTTGGTGATTCTCACTCCACAGTAATTCTCTAAACATTTCTTGTTCTCATTACTTTGGGAAATTAAGGGAATTTATCTAGTGAGTTAATGCCAAGGATGCTGCTAAATGGTGTGCGTGCCCACCTGAAAGGATTATTCAGCTCCATGTGTCACTGGTGCTAACCTTCAGAGACCCTGGTCCAGGTGTTTCTCATTTCCATAATTGCCATATTTGTTCCCCTTATAACCTGGAGAGGCAGATTAGAGCTAGGTGCACTCATGTGCTGTGTAATATTTGCTCAGCACTTGTGCATGAGTCATCTTCAGAGAGACTGAGTAGGGGACGTGGTCAGAAGACTTTCTGTGCAGCTCATAAATGTGCTCTTACGAAGACGGGTATTTCTTCCTCGTGTCCAGCAACAGTCTTCTTCATTTTGGAGGTGATTCTGTGCACCAGGTGACCCTTCCTGTGGGTTATACTTGGGACAGTACCCTTCTGAGACTACAGGGGTTATGAGTATAGAAGGCCTTGTTCCAGGGCCAAGGGGTTCAATAGCTCTGCTCAGTTATGTAGCTCAAGTTAGTCATTTAAATGTTTTGTGTCTTGTTCTCTGATAGACTTCAGAGTCACGTTTGATTCCACAGGGTTTCCAACTTGGAGCTTTTGAACCTCATTGGATGATACACAGTTCTTTCCTTATTTATTGCCCTTTTCCTCCCTTCATGACAATGAAAGAACTATTTTGTATGCTTTATAGACAACGGCAGTGACCTAGGAAAGTTCAGCAAGTGGTTCAATAGTACAGAGCTCTCAAATTGCCTTTGAATTTTCACTTCTGTCCCTTCATTTTCTTCCTTATCTCACCAGATACAGTAGCCATTTAGGGTCATTACTATAGCACCATGTCTGAATTTGTTCTCAGGTTTCCCATCCTTCTTAAAGCAACTACTTCAGCTCTCTTCCTGCTGTACCTACTGTGTGCTCTGCTGGAGACCGTCTCTGAGATTCTGTTCTGTGTTGTCGTCAGCCCTTGCCTGGTGGCCGACCTGTTTTCCATCATTGCTCCAACAGCTTTTTAACCTGGTTAACCAGATAATAATATTCTTCACATGAGCTCCACTCCTCCTTGCTCATGATCACAGGATGTGAGTGTGATCACTGTGGGGCTGTCTGCTACCTCTTGTCACAAAATGTGCCCATCTTGTGGCCTGGTTCTAGGAGATGATGATTACATTCGTAGTTTCTCACCTCACCTTTTACTCTAATGTGATGCACCATTTTCTCTCCCACGGGTTTTCCAGGTTGGTATTCACCTATGGGGAGGAGATAGCCAGTCACTGTGGCTGTGACACCAGTGTGTGACTCCTCCTGATAGGCCACTGATTCCTCATGATCTCTCCTACGTCTTCATTGTACCACCATCTTGAGGATCCCTTCTGCTGGGTTTCCCACCTCACGGTGGTGATCTTGTGTACGACTCTGTCTCTTTCATCTGCCTCAAGCACAGGGGCCCTCATTTTCTGTACAATGACACCCTAATGTCCACCACCTGAAAGTGTTCTCTAGTACAGTTGGGCGACTGTAGATTATGATATGTATATATTTTTTTTAAAAATCTAGAAAAGGGGTTTTGAAAGTTCTTACTACAAAGAACAAAAGGTTTGAGGAGATATAGTTACCGCAGATTTAACAGATCTGAAGTCTGTTTGTATGAAAACATCACATTTTACCTCTTAAACATGGACACTTAGGATCGATCAAACAAGTTTTCAAATTACAGTTTTTTAGCTGGGCACAGTGGTGCATGTCTAAAATACCTGCTACCCAGGAGGCTGAGGCAAGAAGAGTACAAGTTTGAGTCCTGCCTCAGAAACTGGGCGCAAGACACTGTCTGAAAATAAAAAGGACTAGGGATGTAGCTTAGTGGTAAAGTGCCCCTATCTTCATTCCCCAGTTAAAGAAAAAAGAGATGCAAAATGTGTTTTCAGTTGGCCCACATGTAAAAATGCCCACTGAACTAAAACCTTATAAATGTCAAAAATACAAGAAAAGTTTGAATTTTACCAAATGGTTGCAAGATCCTGTTAAAATCCCTTACGAATTTGATTATGCCGATTGGCTGTGACCACTATAAGGTCATTTGCCACCACTTGTCTTGTACTGAGCTCATGATCCTGCTTGGTTTTGCCT